AATTTTCTTTTTATTCAGTTTAAGTCATTTTAATATTTCAACTTAAACATATTATATTTCGGTTAGATGCCAAAGCAGGATTTCTAATTTCCATGAAAAACTTTTATCTAATATTTATATTTGATCTCATCTTTATTTCAATTAATGAGTTTATTTAACAACAGCAAACACTGCTGGGAAATATTTGTAATGCTTTTTTGCAGACTACTTTATTTATACTGGAGAAATCGACATTAGATCGTAATGCAAACAAGTTGCATCAGTTGCAAACAAGTTACAACATAATAGAAATGCATCATAAAATATGATTTTTTTCCATAAATTCTAAGTAAATACAGAAATGAAACACCTGGCTGCACTGGCAGTAAAAGGCCATAGATGCGTTCTCGGACAGGAAGATATAAGACGGCCTGCGGGGGTAACTCCACCTCATCCTCATCTTCCAACGTGTTACTGCACTCCACGACCCCATCATATAACACATTATAGACCAGGAAACACTCTGCCTGTGTGTGCTTTTCCATCGCTGCCTGAAACATGGAAACACTTAGTAAGAGTACAAACAAAGCCATGTTACTTCGGGTGGGTCTGATGCTTTTGTTAAATACAGTGGGGTCCAAAAGTCTGAGTGAAAATGTTTCCTTTTTGCATTTTCTCTCATTTTATTTCTATATTTTAAAAGACAAAATTACATTATCAGCAAACTTCTAAATGTTAATAAACCATAAAAATACCATATGGTGTATTTTAAATCCCATATTTTTTAAATGTGTCCTGTGCATTTTTCCTTTTTACCTGTAATATGTCACCAGGTACATAATTGCCCATCAAACACACAGACTCAGGAAAGGCACGGCTGCTTTCTAACCAAGGGGACATTTGTCCTGTAAGTAAATACAAGCGTATGCCTTTTTCTAAAGCTTCTTTCTCTGCTTCAACTAACGAAAGGGAGGAAACTCCAAATGTTCCCTCACTGCTGGGATGATGAACGCTAATGAAGTCTGCAACAGCATAGACCTTGTCTCCCTGAACTTGCTTGTGTTTCATTCGGTATGACGCCAAAGCACTGTTGCGGAGACGCTCCATTTGCTGCTCAGGCACGACGTCATTGCCCAACAGACAGGCCAAGAGAGGGAGGTCAGTCATATGAAGCTTCAAAACATGGCATAACCGCTCTCTGGAGAACAGCACTGTTGTCATGTTGTTTAAATTGAGTTTATTGATGGACAGGTATGGAACTGTGTTGTAGATAACAAAGTCTGTATCTTGACCAAGGATGCCCATGCAGTTGTGAGACAAAGCGTAGTCGGAAATCTCATAATCTCCTTCGCGAACAGAGCACCGTGATTCCTGGCCGAGGCTTTTGAGGGCAAATCTGGAGAAGGTTGCGAGTCCGGAGGGAAGGCAGAAAAGGTCTCTGCTGTTCGGCTGCTGACCGTGAGTCTTAATGTGCTGAAATATTCTCGCGATGTCTTGGTTGACTCTCAGCCGCCTCTTCACCCACTCTGCCCGCTTTTGTTCCTCGACCGTTCCGTCGAAGAAAAAGACTAAACGTATGTCTGCAGCCGTGAACGCATCCAGGAATTCTTGAAGGATATGCATATACTCTTGCCACTGACCGCCATGGACCCAGGCTTGACAGCGATACCAGTATCTTAAACAGGCCATTCCGTCCACTACTACTGTGGCGGCACTGTCCGGATGGGCTTTGACATGATCGACTGCCATCTGTTTCAGGTCCACTGGCACACAAGAGTCTGGGCAACATCCCTCCATAAAGTACTGTAAGCCCTTCACACCCATCTTCAGCTGTGTGAAAGCTCATCTGCAAGTTCATGCATCTAAAATCAAACATAAAAGTGCATGCATGAATGGAAATTCACCGTTTTCTCTATATCAAAATTATGACATTCTAAAATCTCAATGCACCTGTCAAGTCAATAATGTATATAAATTAGAATATACATCAAACTTTAGAAAATATGCAATTTAATGTTTAAAGAAACATTACTACATTATCACTATGTCCATGCAGAAAAAGAGTTTCACAGCTGTGTCGCTACTTTTACTCGGGGTTTCTGAAGGTTTTAATGAAGGTAAATTTAAGACTTTTTAAAGACCACTTTAAGAAGTAGTAAGGAATGTTAAGCAATAAATCAGTATGGTCACTAAATATAAATGTATTGTATTAGCTAGCTACTCTTCAACAGACTTCCAACAGATCTCTACTCTGAATTTTCATAAAAATAAATAAATAAACAAAAACATGAGGCTTGAATAGTTCAATAATAATTACTTACACAGAAAAGTAATTTTCATACTACAGTGACAGGTACAGGTGCATCTCAATACATTAGAATGTTGTGGAAAAGTTCATTTATTTCAGTAATTCAACTC